CAGATCTTCCAGTCCCAGTTGACTATAGTGGAGACCAATATCTTGATTACATCTTCTTGAGAGACCTTGAGCCAGAACTGCCCAAATAAGCCATCCAGATTCCTGATGCACAGAAATGGTGTGAGATAACAAATGTTTATTGTTTTAAGTTGTTTAATTTTGGGAATTATTTGTTATTCAGCAATAGATAACTAATACACTCACTGATGTTCTCAAAGACATCTTCCAGAGGAAAATGCACCAAGTTTTATCCATCAGTCATTTCATCTCAGCTATCGGATTATTTTAGTCCATAGCTTGTTTGGTAAACTTGTACTTAGTTTTTCAGGCACCATTATATTTGTTATGGTGATCTGTGATCAGCAATCTTTGACGTTACTATTGTAATTGTTTTGGGATGCCATGAACTGTGCCCATATAAGACGAACTTGATGTGTTGTGTGTGTTCTGATGGCTCCACCAACCAGCCGTCCCCTCATCTCTCTCCCTCTCCTCAGGGCCCCCTATTCCCTGAGACACAACAATATTGAAATTAGGCCAATTAATAACCCAACAATGGCCTCTAAGTGTTCAAGTGAAAGGAAGAGTCACACATCTCTCACTTTAAATCAAAAGCTAGAAATGATTATTAGCGAGGAAGGTGTGTCAAAAGCTGAGACAGGCCAAAAGCTAGGCCTCTTGAGCCAGTTAGCCAAGTTGTGAATGCAAAGGAAAATTTCTTGAAGGAAATTACTCCAGTGAACACATGAATGATAAGAAAGCAAAACAGCCGTACGGTTGATATGGAGAAAGTTTTAGTGATCTGGATAGATGATCACACCAGCCACAACATTCCTCTAAGCCAAAGACTAATCCAGGGCAAGGCCCTAACTCTCTTCAATTCTATGAAGGCTGAGAGAGGTGAGGAAGCTGCAGAAGAAGAGTTTGAAGCTGGCAGAACTTGGTTCATGAGGTTTAAGAAAAGAAGCCATCTCCATAACATAAAAGTGCAAGGTGAAGCAGGAAGTGCTGACGTAGAAACTGCAGTAAGTTATCCGGAATATCTAGCTAAGATAATTAATGAAGATGTCTACACTAAACAACAGATTTTCAATGTAGACAAAATAGCCTTATATTGGAAGATGACGACATCTAGGACTTTCATAGCTAGAGAGGAGAAGTCAATGCCTGGCTTCAAAGCTTCGAAAGACAGGCTGACTCTCTCTTTTTTTTTTTTTTTTGGTGAGGAAGATTAGCCCTGAGCTAACATCTGTTGCTAATTCTCCTCTTTTTGCTGAGGAAGAGAGGTCCTGAGCTAACATCTGTGCCTATCTTCCCCTATTTTATGTAGGACCCCTGCCACAGCATAGCTTGATGAGCAGTGCATAGGTTCACACCTGGAATCCAAACCTGTGAACCCCAGGCCACCGAAGTGGAGTGTGCGAACTCAACCACTACGCCACTGGGCTGGCCCCTGGCTGACTCTCTTGTTAGGGGCTAATGCAGCTGGTGACTTTAAGCTGAAGTCAATGTTCATTTACCATTCTGAAAATCCTAGGGCCCTTAAGAATTATGTTAAATCTACTCTGTCTGTGCTCTATAAATGGAACTACGAAGGCTGGATGTCAGCACATCTGTTTTCAACATGGTTTACTGAATATTTTAAGCCTAATGTTGAGAGCTATTGCTCAGAAAAGAAGATTCCTTTCAAAATATTACTGATCATTGACAATGCACCTGGTCACCCAAGAGCTCTGATGGAGATGTACAATGAGATTAACGTGGTTTTCATACCTGCTAACACAACATCCACTCTGCAGCCCATGGATCAAGGAGTAATTTCAACTTTCAAGTCCTATTATTTAAGAAATACATTTCACAAGGTTTTAGCTGCCATAGATAGTGATTCCTCTGATGAATCTGGGCAAAGTAAATTGAAAACCTTCTGGAAAGGATTCACCATTCTAGATGCCATTAAGAACATCTGTGATTCATGAGAAAAAGTCAAAATAACAATATTACCAGGAGTTTGGAAGAAGTTGATTCCAACCCTCATGGATGACTTTGAGGGGTTCAAGACTTCAGTGGAGGAACTAACTGCAGATGTGGTGGAAACAGCAAGAGAACTAGAATTAGAGGTGGAGCCTGAAGATGTGACTGAATTGCTGTAATCTCATGATAAAACTTTAATGGATGAGGAGTTGCTTCTCATGGATGAGCAAAGAAAGTAGTTTCTGGAGATGAGATCTTCTCCTGATGAAGATGCTGTGAAGACTGTTGAAATCACAATAAAAGATTAAGCATATTATATAAACTTAGTTGAAAAAGCAGCAGCAGGGTTTGAGAGGATTGATTCTAATTTTGAAAGATGTTCCACTATGGGTAAAATGCTATCAAACAGCATTGCGTGCTACAGAGAAATCATTTGTGAAAGGACGAGTCAGTCGATGTGGCAAACTTCATTGTTGGCTTATTTTAAGAAATTGCCGCAGCTGCCCCAATCTTCAGCAACCACCACTCTGATGGGTCAGCAGCCAGCAACATCAAGGCAAGACCCTCCACCAGCAAAAAGGTTACGACTCACTGAAGGCTCAGGATATGCAAGTGAACGTCAGCAGGAAGTTGAAGATATTAGGTCTGGGGCAGACTTGTGCCTGAGATATACAGGTTTGGGAGATGAAAAGATAATTGAAACCAAGGGTCAATGACAGAACCTCAAGGAAAACCAGCATTTACAGAATTGGCAGCAAAAGAGCAGAGACAGTGAAGGAAGTATAAAACAAAACAACCGATCAGAATCATAAAGAACAGTCAGTGAGATGTGGGGCACTGTGATTTCATAGTTGTTCTATAGAAGCCAGCCACTTCCCCTAACGTTGACCTCTGACAAAGCTTTCATTCAGCAAATTTTACTGAGCCTACACTATGGGCCAGACACTGTTCTAGGTGCTAGGGACACACCAGTGAACAAAAAAGACATAAAGCCCTGACTTTCGTGAGCTTACATTCTAGTGTGGGGAACAGATAATAAACAAACATTAAAAATAGATAAACAGGGCTGGCCCTGTGGCTTAGCGGTTGAGTGTGCGCGCTCCGCTGCTGGCGGCCCGGTTCCGATCCCCGGTGCGCACCGATGCACCGCTTCTCTGGCCATGCTGAGGCCACATCCCACATACAGCAACTAGAAGATGTGCAACTATGACATACAACTATCAACTGTGGTCTTGGGGGGAAAAATAAATAAAATCTTTAAAAAAAATAGATAAATATTTGGAGATAAATGCGACAGAAAAAAAGAGGTTAGATTAAGAGGCATCTGAGGTATAGAAAGGGTGTGTGAGCAATTTCCTAAAGGGCAGTCAGAGTAGGCCTCATGGAGTAGGTGACATTTGAGTAAAAACTTGAAATTTGCCAAATAGATATCTCGGGGTAGAGCATTCCAGGCAGAAGTTAGCAGCAGCACCAAAGTCTTGAGGCGGGAGCAAGCCTAGGAAGTTGAACAGTGAGCAGTGTTAGGGTACTAGGAGACGAGATCAAGGAAGAAACGTGGGGGCATCGGGTAGGATTTTGGCTTTTGCTCTGAGAACAAGGAGGGACTATTAGAAGGTTTTGAGCTTAAGAGCGACAGGTCTAAGGTTTTCTAGTAAGATCACTCTGCTGCATTTAGGATAGACGCTGAGTGGCAAGGGTAGAAGCAGGCAGACAGCGAAGAGGCCAGCGCAGAAGTTCAGACAAAAGATGACGGTGCCTTGAACCAGGGTTCTAGCAGTGGGTTTCCCGATGGCTTAGAAGTAAGAGAAAGAGGAGTCAAGACTAACACCAAGGCTTATGTCCTCAACAAAAGGAAAGATACCGCCATCAACTGAGGCAGGGGAGGCTTCGGGAGGAGCAGGTCGCATCCGGGAGTGGGCGGCGGTGAGACCAGGGTAGGGAGGAACCAGTTCAGTTCCTGGTCATGTCAAGTTTGGGGTGTCTATCCACACTCTACGAGTTTGAAGTTGGGGCGAGACGTCCGAGCTGAAGAGAGATGGAAGTCGTCAGCAGAGTCGGTATCTAAAGGCACGAGAGAGAACAAATGTAGTTTCAGGTGTGATGACTGTCCTGAAGAAAAGGCAGGAACGGGGGACGAGTGTTTGTGTGGGCGGGCACTTGACAAAAGACGGCCACGGAAGGGACACAGGCTTTCTCTGAGAAAGAAGGCGCTCGGCGGGAATCTGGCGCCATCCTCCCGCGCTGGAGGCCCCCCGACAGGGCAGGGCTGAGGGGGCCGAGGCCACGCCGCGGGGCGGCCCGCTGCTTCTCCGGCAGAGCCCTGCGGGGGGCCCGCTCATCGGCTTCCCGCCCGTTAGCGCGGTTGCCGGGCAGCCGAAACCGAAACTCTTCTAATGGGCATTTCCAGCTTCTCCCGAACACGACCGAGTTGTGTGGGGATGGGGGGAAACTGGGCCGGAACGCAGATTTCACTCAGACTGCACAGCTCGACTATTTTAGAGCCGATCGTAATAACCGGTAAACTCGTAAAACCAACACAATCACAACTTTCGCAATGACAGCGGAGGCCGCACGCTTCTCTTCTGCGCACCGGCCGCCTCCCCAGCGTCACTCTGAGGTAATAGCCTTTCTCCTCAATCGCTCCACGGAACCCCCAGGGCGGGAGGCCTCCTCCACTACGGGTCGAAGGAGGGCTCAAGTCACGCTGCGCGAACAGGGCTGGTCCGGCGCCACAAAAGGATTCGCAGGGCGGGGCGCCCCGACGACTCTCTCTCTTGCTCCCATTGGCTGCGGTCGCGAGGCTCTCCTCCCGGACTGGCTACTGCGGAGCCTCGGAGCCCGGCAGCTGCCCGCCGTCTGGGCGCGCGTGCGCACGCGTGGCGGGCGCGCACCGCACTGAGCAGGCGCGGCCTCGTGTCGGCTGGAGGGGCGGGCGGAGCGGCGCGCGCTGCGTCCCGGCGCTCGGCTTTCCCTGCCGGTCCCGCCCTCCGTCGCGGCGGCGCGGTGCACCCTGGGACAGGGAGCGATCTCCGAGCGAGGCAGCAAGATGGACGCGGGATTCTTCCGCGTAAGTAGAAGCGCGGGGACCTGGGGTGAGGTGAGGCACTTACTGGCGAGGCCTGGCAGGAGGCTCAGACTTGGGACGGAGCGGGCAGCGAGGGAAGGCTTCGAAGAGCCTGAGGATCCTCGGCGCCCGCGGACGCCCCCCTGCCCTGCGGCGGAGACCGGTGCGCCCCTGCGCAGTCTCCTCCTCCGGGATCGTCCCCCCTACGCGGCGGCGACGGTCGCCGGAAAATGGCGGCGGGAATGGGCCGGAGGGGCCCCTCGCCGTCCGCCGGCCTGGCGGGGCCTGCACGCCCAGCCGCGCGCGCCGCCGGGTCCCGGGCCTGACGGAGCCGCGAGGAGGAAGTCCGGGGGGGAGGCCGCGGGGCAGCCCGGAGGTGACTGGCGGCGGGAGGCCTTGGGCACGGTTTGGGGGTGCCGCCCCGGGAGAGCGTGGTAGAGCACAGGAAGCAGCGTCGGGCGTCTTTTCTTGAGAAAGCGGGCCCCGACCCCCCTCCCCCGCCGGCCTCCCCCTGGTCCTGAGCCTTCGCGAAGGCGCGGGGTCAGAGTTCGCGAGAGCTCCCGCCCAATTTAATACCCTGTGGGGAGGGGAACTCAGATGATACGTAGTTGGAACGTTTGAATCGGGGACTGAGGGCAGAGGGCGCAACAAAAGTGTGCGCGTGTGCGGAGGCAGGGTACAGGGTGATCGCCTCCTCTCCTTCCCGCTCGCTCCCTCCCCCCCTTCTTTCTTTCTTTTTTTTAACTCTTGAAGTCCGCTGGAGAAAACGTGCCTCTTACCTAGGTTCTGCCGGGCTGCTCGCCCATCACCTGCAGGCGGGGAAGTTACCTCGCCGCGCGTAGTTGGTCCTCAGGGGCCAGACTATCAGGCTCGTGCTGGAGCCTGTTTGTCTCGTCTTTTAGGAAATGAGCACCCAGTCGAGATCTGGACGGGTGCGAAGTGGCACTAACAGGACTAGACTTTGCAGATTTTCTTAAAGCACAACGGACCACATAGAGACCAGTGGGTCCAAGTCAAAATGTATGCTTTATGTAGGGTAGGGTTGTCTCTTTCCATTCCCCGGAGCATATTATGCAGTTTGTACGTGTGTGTTTAAAGGAAAAGTTGGAAGAGGGGAACACCAGGACTTGGTTAAGATATCTCTTGACACTCCAAAGCTGGCGTTGAAACTCCTCTTTAATTGGCTTTCAGTGTGCCAATTAGTTTTTCATCAAAAGTTGGAATGTTATTCCCAGTAGTTGACTTAAAACAGCCAGTTATTTGACGGTTCTTAGGTTATGCAAACAGTATTGTAGTTATTTATGTAATGATAGTTTCAATTGAGAGAGCTTATCAAATTATCACACTGCGGATGAACACTCCATTTTGTAATTTCCATCAAAGTATTTTGTAGTAAATACTCAATATTTCCTGGGGTCCGAATGTAATAATTTGAAACAAAAGCCTGTGATTTTTTTGGTTGTTTCCCATGGAAAGGAGTTCCGGTAGAAAAAGAGCAAGGTGGTTGATAAATTTAAAAATGAAGTTTGCTTTTGGTGTTGGTAAAAGTCTGAAAGAAAAGGATGCAGTTTTTTATATACCGCGTATAATTCCTTAGAGGAGTTGACTGGATGTAAGCTTCGAGGTAAAAGATTTTAGGGTAGTTATCTTTTTAGTACAGTGCCAGCCAGGATAGTAAACCGACTTTTTCCCTTAAGATAGACATGATAGATTAGAAGTGATGGATTGCATTTGTTGAAATCTGCCACATGCCAGTGATTTTACATGTATCATTTCTGATATACACACTCCTGCAACTAAAGAAACATCCTCAGAGAGGTTAAGTAACTTGCTTTGAGGTCATATGGCTTAAGTAGTGGCAGAGTTGAGATTCTTATCCAGGTCCTTTACCTTCCCGAACAAAATTTTCTTGATCACTTTCCAAGGGACAGTGGCCAACTCAGTGAACCAATCAGTAGATTTTGTATCAGATGGCTAGTTATTTCCAGGTTTAATTGGGCCAGTAGGAATGACAAAATGTAGACTAGTGATCACTTGATGGTCTAATGTAGTATTTGTAAGTTCTTATTTTTCCAAATTTTTCGCTGAAATTGATTTTATTAAGGTAAACCTATATTTTTCTTGCATTTCAAGTTCTTAAAGTTGTGGAAAACTAAACACAGCACAGGCCTAGGGAGTTTTTTCCTTTTTCCCCTTATATGCATTGCCACAATAATTTTGCAAACATGCTACTGGCTTTCAGAAGAGGATGAAACTTAACGGTCTTGTTTGAAGGCATATGTTAAGCGTAGTAAATATTACAACATGTTCTTGTTTATTTTTTTATTTTATTATTATTTTTTTAAGCAATTTTTATTGAAGAAGATTGGCCCTGCACTAACATCTGTTGCCAGTCTTCCTCTTTTTTCCCTTTTCTCCCCAAAGCCCCAGTGCACAGTTGTGTAGTATAGTGTAGAGTTGTAGCT